TACTATTCATATATTTGGTCAAATCAGTTATTTAGGTTTTCTCCTTCCGTTTATTAAAATTCAGTTTAGTCATCTATTAAGATGTAAACTCCAAATAAATATATCCTTAGAAGAAAATGGAAAAAGAGTAGAAGCCTCCCTAGTCATTTTAGTAGAAATATAGGATGCGTAGAATTGTTTTTGTTACGGATTTCAGTGTTGCTTCTACAGCTCGGAAACAAACTAGACCCAGTCTCCTGGGAAATGGACTTTTTCTCTGCTTCTCCATCATACTGTCAGTCCTGGTCTTTTACACTGCTGCCTTTGCATTGCTGAAAGACATTCTCTTGAAAGTTCAGAATCAATTTCCAGGACATTCACAGCATTTCAGTGCGTTTTAATTTAAGGTTACAGCAGCTTTGGCAAAGAAATATTTTGGCCAGAAGTTTTCATCATGGATTTTTTTTTTAATTCATTATTTAAATCCTACTTTTATACAAATACTCCTTAAGAGAGAACAGATCCTTGTTTAAATATTAGCAATTAGTCCAACACAAAAATGCACTGACTTAATCATTTTAAGATTGGAATCCTGTCACTGCAGTCAGCAACACCTGGATAAAAACATGTTAATAGAAGGGGCAAATAATTAATTTTAATGTTTCCATTAACAATGAATGTATAATGTAATAAATGCTAATCTAATAATCAAATTCCTGCATACTCAGCAGAGATTCTAATTGCAAAGTAGAGCAGTTATTTATTCAGTAAATTTCCCAAATTATCTTCTCATCTAAGATAGTCCTGTAGGCTTGTCTGCAATTAATAAGAAGACATAGGGATCTTAATTTCATCTAATGTAAACACCCATTTTATGAGCAGGATTGATCACCTTTCTACATCACCTACAAAGTTTAAGACAGATGGCTAAAATCACCACAATTGCAAAGAACAAAATGGGGGGGCGGGGGGAAGGTGTGGGGAATCCAATTATACAGATTAATGAAGAGACTAACAGAAATCTCCAACATGCATACACATGGCTTGCAGCTGACTGGAAAGCATTAAGTAGGCAAACCCAAACGTACAGAGAACCTTTTGAATACAATTTTAAAACCTATGAAATATAGACAATCGCTATCAAGAAATATCAATGCCTTTTATTCCATTTTGCTTTTTATTTGAGAAAGGCATTTCTGAATAGAAACACTAAAAATACTGCTAAAGGTATTTTTACCTCTAGCAGATGGTTAGTTACAAATGTAATAGTTTTAAATAGCTGAGCTACATATATCAATCCAGAAAGGTTTAAATAACAATACAAAATCCTTTGAAATCTTTATGAAACAAACCTAAGGCTCTAAACTGCTTTTTGTACCACTCTTCCTGACTTTACTCAGCCCAACTATAAAAATACTGTTTCAAAATGCTGTTGTGTCATCTATGCATATTAAAATAAGAAAGAAAAAAAATAAATTCATACTTAAAAATATCCTAATAACTGATAGACAAAGGCAGGAACTTAAACCTCCCTTCAGCTTTTAAAAAACTGAGTTTTTTTTCTAAAGAGTATCCAATGTAAAGCTGAAGGAATAGTAGTGCCATACACAATTTTCTTGAATATTTTTCTTCTGTTTACTGCATACCTGTTTTATTTCTCTTTGTTTCTCTACACTTCTCATTTTATCATTACAAAGACAGGAAAAGAAAAATCACCTTGAGTACATCACGTGAGCAACAATCAACTGTAACAAACTAAAGATTATTTTTTTTTTGTTACTAAAAAGATTTTGTACAATCACACCACCTATGGACATCCCTTGTGTGCGCAGTAATTCCGGAATTTTTCAACCAGTTTCCACTGATAGAGCTGAGCTATATGGTCTTGGAAAAAGAAATTATACTCCTTAAGGTTTAAAGGAAGTGAACAATCAAAGACAAGAGATGGCTCTGGTCAGCATCTCCTGAGGTGAAGTGCTCTTGTATAAGCGCATCCCATATTAGACCTCAGAGTCCACTTTGAACAATAGAAACATTTCAGTTTGATGTTGCACATTATATGAAACTATAAAACTTAACCAGTAAGAAAAAGCCAAAAGGATAGGAAACCAGGATGCATTTGTTCTGCTTTTTGGTGATGTTTTGCAAGAAGTGAGTAACAGATTGACAGTCAATAGTTTGACAATAACACTCCAGGAATATTCAAGAGAAAGAAAAGTTAGAACATATTTAGTATCTACGCTTTACTATGTAGTAGATGATGGAGCTTTTACAGAACTGGTCTCTGCATGCAACCCCTAGACACTTTCAACTGAGACAGCTTTAAAATTATAAAAAAGTCCTACTCACATTACCAGAAGTTTAAAAAAACGTTTCCACTTGGTCATTATGTTTTAGAACACATGTGACACTGAACTCAGTTTAATCCAAGATACCAAGTCAGTTAAGTTTTTTTCATTGTCACAGATAAACGAAACATAGATTCTCACATGGAATGCACAGCTGTAACAAAACTTAAATCCTGACATTTTAGGGGTCTATTCTGAGGTTGAAACAGCAGATTCTCAATATAACTCTTTCATGGATATTATCACTTTGGTATTTTCTTGGCATATATAAACAACTGTTTATAAAAAGCTATCACAAACATCAGTAAGAAAAACGAAAAACCTGTGCTTGACTAGAAAATTGGGTATTAGTTACACTTCTGATCACAAGATTTGCCAGGGGCTTTATTTAATCACCATTCAGGCCAGTCAACATTCCACATACTTCTGAAGCTTTCAAACATGTTTGTTTATACGGATTATGATACCAGTGGTAACTACGATGAGTCACCTTGTTTTCACTAAAGTAGAATGAGCTGTTAGAATCACTTAAATACAGAATTGAACAACACAGGTATTTCTTTTTTATCTTAGGGCTTTCTGGCGATACTAGAAAATTTCTTTCTTAGAGAACTGTCACATGTCAATCCACAGTAAATTCAGAATTCGGGGTCTTTTAAGTTAAGGCATTTATTCCATCTCATCATGCCAGCGTGTTACTTTGCAGGTCATTTAGGTAGGTGAACTGGAATGTGGAAAAAGTCATGGTCTTAAATCCTGTACTGTGGTAGTTTTAAAGAGAGACACCTACATTTTAAAGAAGGGAAGTATGGGGTTTCCATTTTCCCAAGCAAAAGTTTTTTTCTCTGAAAAGCATAATCTTCTGACAAATGACCTACTTCTTTGAAGTACGAAAAAAAAAAGGTATTAATCATTTTATTAATTTATTTATATCAAGGAAGGGAGAGTTTACTTAATTGGAGAGATTATTACTAGAAAAAGCTACAAGAGAAGTATAAGTGTATCAAACAAGACGACAAGTGGTATATTACTATCATTCTTTTTTTTTTTCCCTTTTTTCCCCTTTGAATATCTTCTTATGTTTCTGATTGTTGGGGAACAACTCGCCTCAAACAAACAAAAAAAAAAAAAGCAGCAATATAAAAAAAAGACATGTTATATGACTGGGAATACAGCAGAACAGAGAAATATTTTCTCCATGGTTCTAAAGTTTAAAAATAGATATGGTACGAATTATAATGTTGATATTTCCATTAAAAACAATCAAGTTTCATACTCGAATTATGTCACGCCAGACCTATTTTCCAGCAGAGCTTCCAGCTAGATATGAACTCCCCACATGTCATAGTCTTATCGCAATAAAAGGTGTCAGTCTCATCAGAAAGAAACACATGGTTGGCTCACATAAGCATTTTATTTTGACTCAGGAGATCAGTTTTGAACTAAGTTTCCTGGTTGTCCCCAGTTAACCAGCTTTGATTTGCACATTTTGATTTGCATTGGGGAGACATCATCTCAGAGTTTGCTAACTGAATTCCTTTTTGAGAATCCAAGAATGCCCACAATGTACTCTACCCACTAAAAGGCATTCGGCACCCTTGGGCCCATCCAGCCCGAACTAAATTAATCTGAAGTCAAACCCCTGAAACTGAGTAGATATCAAGTCCTCTGACCCATCTCGTTCACTCTAGAACTACCCCTATTGCTTCACACCACAATAAGCAATGACTTTTTTTCAGTCCTTAGGCAATGCTGTTTCTTCAGCAATATCACCACTGCAATTTAGGAGTTATACATAAAAATGAAAAGCTTTAATTAATTTGTGTCTATGCTTAAGTTAGCAACATTTTAATGGATTACTGCTTGGAATTAAAAATAATTCCAAGTAAAAAAAAAAAGTTCACATCTAGTACTTTCTTTGAGTAGATGAATAGGTAGCACAGTTAATGAACCAATCTTTTCATCTTAGAAAAAGGATTTGGATTAAACAATGAATCGAGTCCAAAATTAATGACACATAACAAACTTACCTTGAACAGCTTTATTACTGTCAAAAGCTTTTAATTACCTCAGAATTTACCATAACTAATATCCTAAATTTACTAAAAGATACTGCAGAACAGGATAGCAAGACTGCTTGTAAACAAGCAGACAAAACAAAGTTTCCTTCTCCATATGAATAGAATAGAATGTTTGTATAGACAGTATCTTTGATAAATGGAATATGAAAGACTGAGAAGAGGCAGCAGTAAGAAAAGAAGCATGTAGCAAGCATAAATGTTCATGACTACTGCTCTCTATTCACACTTTACAAAAACTATTCATTGAAGTCCTCATCCAATAATTTTCTATTCTCAACTGAAGAAAAAACCCAGCAGGTTCGGCGTTTGATCACTGCTACTGTAAGTATAAAATCCACATTCTTGCTATGAGATGCACAATTATGTTTGCTTGTCTTCACAGGATTGTAGGAGAAGAATCAAACTTCCATAGTTACTGTACTGATAAAAGAAAAAAAATCTGTACTACTAAAATTACATCTGTAACTTCATTTAAACAAAATGCTTGTAATTCCATTTCTTCTTTATAGGCAGAAAGTCAAAGCAGTCATTCCTCCTAAAGCTCCTGATATATAAATACTGTTACACCTTTATATTTTTTAAAGATACTTACTGTTCTAGGAGTTGATCATATTTTCTTAAAGCATCCTTTTCAGCAACAACTGCTCTTTCTTTTTCAGCAACAGCATTATCTCTCGCTTCTCTCAAATTTCTGAAGGAAAGAAAAGTTATTCTGTCAAGAATCTGTTAGAAAAAAGACTGTTTTGCTGCATTAATTATAGTGACCAATCTGAACTTCAATACGACCTTCATCAATTCTCACAGAATGATATAGGAGTCTATCTAGATGCCTATTCATTATAGAGACTTTACTTCAGATTATTTTCATATATACCAAAGTTTCCAGTACTGAAATTCTAAAAACAATGATCAAACCACCTATGTAGAAATATATTAAAAAGTTTAGAATATTAAAACTACAAATTACTTAATTTTTGTAGGCATCAAGTAAATGTCAACAATTTTGATCCTGAATACTTCATTAATAAATAGGGGAATGCTGTCCTCCTAACTGAGGTGATTCACAACTTTTATGACAGAGCAGGAAAAGATTAGCTAGGCATAGAAATCCTACTTCCACATTCAACTAATTGGCTAATTAGTTGGATATATATAGGTTATTGCATGTCATTGCTGTCATCTTCTGGTTTCTATTGCTAGCATTGTTTTTGATCTGCACAGAACAATAAAATAACACATGCATTTTATTGCAATCAATCTATCCTTTTTCAGTTTTTTAACCAAGAATCAGTCAGGACTTTCAAACTAACTCACTATTATTTCACTGACACCAATCAGAATAGCATGATATGAAGAATAATACATACAGTACTTGTGTTAAAAAATTATGTAGGTATTAATAGCCTGTTAATCTGTAGTCTGCATGTAGCATAACATTGTCATAAACTGTATTAAGTGGAAGTATATATTGTGCTTATGAAATGTATCTCCATTATCTAGTGCAACACATAACAGCCAATTCAGAGGCTGTTGAGGGCCAGACACCTACAGTATAACCATTTTTGAGTATACTCCCAGTTTGCTCCTGTTACTTGAACACTCACTAGCATTTGGAATATACTAAATGATCTTAAATATTCCTTTCAATTTCATTTCATCTAAGAGGAATCCTGTTCATATGCTACAAATGTGAAAAGAATACAACAAATTCAAGCACAAATTGTGAGGCAAGTAAAACCATTGCAAGCATCAATGACTAGGGGGTTTCCCTTCACGCAGCAGTGACTAAGATGATAAGCAGCAAAGGCTAGGGGGTTTCACTTCAAAACCACACTCTTCACCTAAACTAAACTGTTAATGTAGATACAGCCAAGCTCTTCCTACTGAAGCTATTTGTTCCCCTCTCCCTGACAGGAACTTTTTGAATTAAAGCAAAGTAGAATTACAGGCTTAGGCAAATTTTGAAAAGATAAAAGATACAGAAGTAAATGGAAAATTATTAAGACCATGTAAATGTTATCCTAGGTTGTTTTACCTACACTAAAGGTATTTAATTCTTGGATAAAAGACTATGTTCTAGATGAATGAAATGTTATCAGTGGTATATTTTTGAACTCAAGTAATTCACATGAATAGGAAATAGTTACTTAAGAAGAACCATCGGAATTATGTAACAGTTAAGTGGCTATGAAAGAAAGAAAACAAAATTTTCCTTAAAAAATGAATTACCAGGCTACAGAATTTACCAGTGAATCATTGACTGATCTTCAGAGAAGATTCTTTAAAACTGACTCACACCAAAATATAAGAATATTGTAATTATTTTTGTTGACAGCACTAAGATCAAGCATATTATGACTCAGAAAGCAGTACAATATTGTATCCTTCAGGGAAAGCAGAAGCACAAGGGCATCTATATTAGCTTTTTAAATAAACCTCTTGAAATAAACTGCCACTTATTGCACTTCAATTCACACCCCCAAACTATTCTAGAGTGCACAAACTGGATTCCAGTCAGCTTGAACAAGTCAGAAGATGTGTTCAGGGACAGCATCTAACATGCTCAAAACTACTAAATTGTGTTTGATCTGTAGGAAAAGACTGTAGCTAATCCAAAGTCAAACCTCATGCAGACATTCGTGCGCCCTTTGAATTCGCTTATGCTTGCTAATGCAAACATAGCCAATGCTTAGTACAACCAAGCAAGTGAAACTGATCCCAAATAAATTAAGAACGAAAGCATCACCTTATTATAGATTTGTCATCCCCCTCCCATTTTAGCTTCTTGAACTGAATCATCCAAGTGTAAAATAAGTGCCAGTAAATTCAAGGGAAACATCAAGCTCATCAGGCTTGGCAAAGTGTTAAGGAGCAAAAGCAACTAATATTAGATTAGTTTAGCTGTACTACCATTCCATGCTTTGACCCTGAAGAAGAAACCAGCATCTTAGCTTTATTTTCAGTCAAAATCAGTATCTTATCACATTACACATTAATTGCAAACTGATTTGCTCACAATTCGGGGTTGCATTTGTCTCGCCATTAAGGGGCACCTCAGATTGGGAAGCAGTGTCTCGTGGATTTTTTTAGCATTCTGTAGAAAGAACATATCCTAAAAATTCTTTTTTTGCAAAATATGAAATCAAATCTAAGGGATTTACATTTCAGAAGTAATTATTTCAAAATGAGGAACAAGACTTCTGTAAATTGGTTCCAGATACAAATGAAATATCTTTCAGCAGTTTTCTCAATGATATACAGACCCTTGTCAAATCTCCATGAACAGTGTAGGTTTAAATTCGTACTTTGTAATTCAAAATAGATTTGCATACAGGAAGTGATGTGGATGTATGTGTATGTGTGTAATATATATATTTTAATCACACTTGCAAAACTACACAATGATGTAATTTTTTTAATTAGAACCTTTCAGTTGACTGTAAGACAGACAGCAGGAGTCATGTTCTTTTTTCACTCTTCCGAGCAGTAACAAAACTACCTATTAGAAGAACAGATGCTGATGCCACAAATATCTTTTTACTACAGTCATTTCCTTCTCCACATAAGAGACTTTGAGGACATCTGCAATGAAGTTATAATGAATTATTAAACGCTCCTTCCATTTTAAAGGAATAAAAGGGGCAAAAAGCAAGCTCAAAAAGAAATGCAGTACTAAAAGTCCAAATCCCTAGATCCCTAAAGGCTTATGCATGTGCCTAACTCTACATGTAATTCCATGGAATTCAACAAGATGGCACACATACAAAATTCAATATGCAGGTCTCTGCAGGACTAGGATCTTCTTCAGAAGAGATTTCATAATAATTTACAGAAAATCAATGCTTTCTTGAATCATAATGCTGTAAATCTCACATAGATTTGTTTTATAAAGACACAAATCTTATTAGTTTCCTATTCTTTTTCTTCTTTACTTTCTGCGTTAGCACCTTCTCTTCTGGTTTCCTGGCTCAGTTTCAAGATTGCCCATACAGCATGACAGGTAAACCAACACATTTTGTGTTCATTAACTAAAACTATACATCTGAACAAACTTCGAACCATTCATGTTTATCTACAACATGAATTTTAATAATCATAGAATCACAGAATGGCTTGTGTTGGAAGGTCATCTAGTCCAACTCCCTTGCAGTGAGCAGGGACATCTTCAACTAGACCAGGTTGCCCAGAACCACATCCACCCTAGCCTGGAATGTCTCCAGGGATGGTGCATCCACCACCTCTCTGGGCAACCTGTATCAGTGTTTTACCACCCTTGTTGTAAAAAATTTCTTCCTCACATCCAGTCTGAATCTCCCCTCTTTTAGTTTAAAACCACCAGCCCTCATCCTGTCACATCAGGCCCTGCTAAAAAGTCTCTCCCCATCTTTCTTATAGGCCCCTTTTAAGAACTGAAAGGCTGCAATAAGGTTTCCCTGTAGCCTTCCCTTCTCCAGGCTGAACAACCCCAACTATCTCAGCATTTCCTCACAGGAGAGGTGCTCCATCCCTCTGATAATACTTTTCATCGACAACGTTGAATATCCATAACTTAATAATGAATATAACACAATATGTTTACAAGTGTGCAAGTGTAATTTCATTTTAGTTTTTACAAGATTCTCATCAGTTTTATAATTGAACTTAAATTCTCACCTTTTGTTCACCTCATAAGAAGCCAGTCAACTAGAATTATACCCAAGCACATAACAGTACTTGGTCATTTTTGCCCTAATGAGGTTATTGCCTGCGTGTTATCTACCTGTTTTCACGTTCATACATCTCTTTTGAAGCACTTCTTAGCTGCTCAATTTCTTGACTTGTTTTCAACCTTATTTGTTCCAACTCTTCATGCAGTCTCTTTTCATATTCTGTTTTATAGTGGTCTCTGTAAATAAACAAATACCCAACATGGAAATTGAAAATTAATTGCCAATCACCAAAATATCAAAGCTTCAGATATAGCTGTACAAGTAAAGCAAAGCACTTCTTGATTTTACATTTTATTTTCATTTTTACTAACTTTCCTCCCAAACTGCTTGAAATACATCTTAGCCTATGTTGTTATGCAAACTGAGCAGAAATTCATCAGGAATAAACAATACTTAATTGGTAATAAATAAAAGCTTTCTGTATACTGTTTAAATTTGTTATAAGTAATTTGACATCGATTAATCGCACAACATTATGCTTAAGATTATTCCAGAAATTCTTTGTCAGCCTCTACATGAGTGTTTATATTAACTAAGCACTTAAACCCCCCAAATTAATTCCTCGCTTTCTGAAGTTTTCCACTGTCTTCATCACTGGGTAAGCATTAACTTGCTAACTTACTTACAATACTGCCATGATACTCTAAGACTTCATTGTGTACTAGCTGCACCTCATTTAGGGAAAATACATCACAAGAAACATTGAAGATTACATGCTGTGGAGATTTGTGAACTTGAAAAACCCCAAGATTTGGAAATTTATCCTGTGAATGTGACATAAGAACTTAAGTATGTATTTTAATTAATTTAGAAGCAGCAGGTATCAAAAGATTCCAGGATAAAAGAATTTGATTTCAGAGTAATATTGACATCTTTTTGTAACTTTGGAAGCCCATGGCAGACTGTAGAGAATCCCTTAATGAATTTCTCTTACAAAACCACAATAAAGCCAAGCTTAAATTCTAAGTACTTAACAGCTAAGGAATGTTAAAATTCTATAGTTAATGTTCAAGGATAATCAATCAGCAATGAAGCAATTGGTAGAAATTACAGGTTTGGAAATAAAAGCATTTTTATGAAGAAAGATGCATTTATAACTGTAGAAGGTTTTAGATTTCTTCAATTTCCAATTGTGTGATAGCCCATAAGTTTTAGAAATCAGTACTTGAGCTGGCCAAAAACTCCCGCAAGTTAACTAAAAGCCCCAAAATATTTAAATATCAGAAGGCTTGCTGTCCAGGTTTTCCTGTATTCTTTGTATTGAGACACTGAATTTCAGTTGACTCTTTACATTTATCTCCTCTCCTTCCTCAATGATGCCACACCACGGTAAAATATTTCATTAATATCTCTGATGCAATGAAGAAGTTTATAATAAAAAAACCAACAAAACAACCCCCCAAAACACCCTGTACCAGAATGTAAGGTTCCCATTAGAAACTGTTTCTTTTCTTTATGTATTATTTATATGGCTCAACATGTAGAGAAAAAGAAAAAAAGACTGTGGAAGATCAAGACCTTAGGGTACAATTCCTTTGTGCAGAATCAATGAGCATTACAATTTTCTCCACTTTCTTACACAATTTGCTATTACCATTACTACTTGCCAAAAAAAAAAAAACCTAAAAAAAAAAAATAAAAAAATAAAAAATTCTGTCATTGCAGAAATTCCACCTTCCCTCCCATAGTAAGGCTGACAAGAGTCAGGAAAGTTCCATGAAAAATTCAAAGAATCTGGAAAAGTCTTAAACACCCGCAGTGATGTCACCCAGCAATAGTTCAAAGGGACACTTATCTTTATGATGACTAAAATAAACAAAGGGCACAATAAAGGGCATATTCCGAGTATAGACCTTAACTGCCCTGCCAGTGCCTTTTAATAAACACCAACTGAGTTGCTGCTGGAGCAAAGCCTTCTCATTTGCAATTTTTATTCCCGACCTGCTGTTACAGTCTTTTGCTTGAGCAGTAATTAAAAATGGTTTTGCCTTATCAAGTTGTTTCTTCTTCTTCAAGCTTCAGGCTTTAATGAGCTTCTTTCAAGGCCTATTATTCGTAGGGCTTTATACTGTGAATAAACTAAATGTGATCTGAGCATCTCAACGCAACTATGGATTGTGTTTTAAGATTAAACATACAAAGGGAAATCTTTGTTGGTCTGTGCTTACACATAGATTCCCAAGAACAGTAGCTATGAGCTGCTGCCATTCATCTTGCCAAAATCTCAAACTGTTATATGTGTCTCTTAAATTTTGACAGGTTAATCCCTCAAGTCCTAAATTCCTAAATTCTGTAATTTTCTAACTACAGTACCCCAACACCAGGAGTTCTGATGGAGACCACAAGGTGAATTATTCTTTACACCTAAAAATAGGTACTAGGGTTTGTTTTCATGATCTTTATTCCTGAACTACAGCATCAAAAAGAGATCCACATGTAAAGTGAGCATTAAAAAAGACTCAAATTTTTCAAACAGTAGCAAATAGAAGCTTATTACCCAAACTGATGTCACTTCCAGGTAGCACTGAGCACTGTAGAATGTCCATCAGTTGTTACAGTTTTCTCCTGCTCTAATTTTCTACCTCTTTAATTTACCTAACAAATAAATAGGATTCTGTAGAGTTCTCTGTAAAGAAACCTAATTCCGTAGACATTTCACCCGAAAACAGATGCTTTAAATTGCTAAAGGGACAGGAATCCCCACTATGGGACGCAGCCTCAGAAGATGCACACAAACCATGTACCTGTGTGTGGGAAATGTAACGAAGGTACAGCTTCTGCAATATTGCAGATCACATGCAGGCTTTAGAGAACTTTACAAAAGGATACTATTATTACCCCCATTTTACAAAAGAAAACTTACATTAACATTTTTACATTTTACATCAGATTTTTACATTATGAAATGACTTACTCAAGGTTTGTCAGCAGCAGAATCCTGAATAAAACCTAGGCTGCCCAAGTTGCAGAGCAGGCCTACAAATGCTGCTCAGCACCCTCCACTGTCTTTACTGCTATGCTATACTGTCCTTGCAAAAGACAATAATGGTCACTAGAGGACAGCATACATGCCTGTATTATTAATTACAGTTAATATCTGTCCTGTGAAAATTAGCATCATGAAGAAAAGTCACCAATACCAATGATATCAAGAGAGAGATTTGGTAATAGTACAGAATCCCAATGACAGTATCAAGATCTCTAAAGGCGAAGTAAGAGTCACAGAATTTCTCTTCAGTTGGCATCAAAATACAAAAGACAGAGACCTCTGATGTTCCAGAGGACAGAAAAGCAAGCTTGCACAGTATCCCAAACTGTGACAGAGGCAAGCTACATATGTCTCTTTCTAGGTTACTCAAATGGAGACAGCTCTGCAAAAATGCCTCCACATCATTATTACAAGACAAGGATTTCACAGTGGTTTTCTAGAAGTAGAAATTTAGCTACCAGTCACTGCTTGCAAGAACGTTTCTAGAGGAAGACTGTTCAGATTTTTTAAATCCCATTTAAAAGCAAGTCTTAAAAATGTATTTAAAATGCAGAACTTCAAGGTGAACACAGTTCTGAGATATACATATCTAAAACAAAAAAAATTTAAATGACTGCACTGAAAGGAAAAATAGAATTAAAAGCACTTCTGATATAGGTTGGAGCCCCATATCTGATAATTTCAGTAGAGTGCTCTTCTATTTCCATTTAGATAACAATTTGTCTCTTCACTGTATTAGTGGAAATGACCCAGGACAGTCATATTTGCACACCTCATCTTAGTTATACAAGAACACAAGATTTATAAATGCTGTTTGTAGTTCCATCTTACTGATTCAAAGAGAAGGAAGCAGCTGAAGAGAAGCTGAACCTAAGGCTTATTCATTCAATCCACAGGTGTTTTGTTGTTTTTTTTAAGGATACTACCAACCAAAAAAGGGGTTTATGTTTGTTAATGGAGTATGTACGAGCAAATACTTGATGTTATGTTGGGATATATATTGAAATATTTTTGGTATCTAGATGTA